TCCATGTTTATCCAAACTCATATTCTTCTGCTTACGTAACCAATGACTTAGACTTCTCCTATGAAAACAACTAAAATTTGGGGTTTTTCTGGGGACAGTATCCTATGCAGTGAATATTTTTAAAGCAGTATTTTCTTTTGCCCAGTGATGACCAGTAGACAGTTGACAATTTGACAGTAAGTGCCCCAGTTTCTGGATTCAGAATGTTCTACTGGTCTCCAGAGTGTGCTGCTGGAATTACTCTATCCAGTGGAATACTGTCTGAGGCCAAAGGCTCATGATCTTAGCTCATTTTTCCTTTGAAGCATGACTTTAGGTTTTCTACCTCCCTGCTAGCCTGGTCCTTTATATTTGTTGGGTGTATAAATGCCTCTTGTGTGTAGAGAATCCTTTGTCTTCACCCTTACGGTTCTTAGACATTTGCATCCTTTCCCCTAGTCTGGGCATTCTTGGGGTTTCATAGAACTAATCTCTAACGATCTGTTTGTACAACTGCTTTTGCCACATAATGTGTTATGTGCATATGAATATTCTTAAATAATAAGAGGATTCTGATTATGGAAAATGAAAATGTTTGACTTTACTAAATTTTATAATGAATAAATTTTATATATTAAATATTCTTAAAATAAGAATACCCTGTTCATGTCAGACTAATTGCATGTGTGGACTCCTTTAAAGAAGTCTTTGCTTTCTAGTAACTTTTTGGCACAGCCTTTATTCGGTGGTTCTTAATATTTTTTTCTGTTGATGTCTTAAACATTGAAAATATGGGCAGGGTTTGAGGGAGTATAAAACACCACCAACAGCAGCCACCCAAATTCTAATGGGTAACTTCTCAGTTATAAAAATTAAAGAAACACACACCTATGATTACCAAAAAAACCCATCCAGGTTTATATAATAACAAAAAATAGTTATTCTCTCTTTACTCACTGCAATGCCTCCCAGATGCAACTAATTTCCTTTTTTATAATAGCTTCTCCTTGTATCATTTATACATTTCCATATTCTAATTATGATGAGTATTTCATTATCTTTCAATTCATCAATATTAGACATTGTCTACTGACATTCTATTTTGGTAAATATATAGGAAATAGCTTTCTTATGCCACTATGCACTTCCCTTCTCCATTATTGAATTTTTAGATAAATGGATATTCAGGGGTGTCATCATTATGTCTGTCCAAACATTATTAACAGCCAAGCATTGAAGTTTACATTAGTTCTGTCCTCTCTGTTTCACCTGAAATTAATAATGGCCTTGTTTTTTATATGCCTAGTTTTCTTTGCACCCATTGCTAATTCTTCCCACATTTTCCAATGGCCTGACAGTACAATTTTCCACAAAGTCAATCACATTAAGGAGGCTATCACTTTTAATATTGTTTCTGGGAGACATCTCTTCTGGAGACATGCTTTCCAGGCCTGCTATGCAGCCAGCATGCTGGGTATTTTCTTGGCTTTTCTCCTAGTTTGGAATCCCTATTTCTTGGATCTCATGGGTTTTTATTGCTTTTGCTTTTGTTTTATTATCCTCTTTTGTGCTATTTCCTCATTTTGTCTGTGTGTATCATTTGCAAGTTTTGTCAAGTTAAAACAAGAATGCAGAGCAGTCGTAATGGTGTCATGACTGCCCTCATCTGCTCCAATTTGAATTTCCCACTCTTTTCTGTGATCTCCTTTCACCATTAGCGTGAAAGGCTCTTTGCTCCTTTCTGGGTTGGATCTCTCTTTTTTATGCTTCTTGCATGTTCCTCCTTCTTGATTCTCAAACAGGGTTTTGTGGAGGACATCTCCTAGGAGTTTCTTGAAAAATGGTCTGTGGGAGCGAATTTTAAAGGCATATTATGGGTAGGTTGTTGTTATTCTATAAATACTTATTGTAATACTGTAATGAGGACTCTGAGGGATATGGAGATATAAAAACTATTTCTGCCCATGGAAAGTTTATAGAATAGGTGGACAGACAAGAAATCTATATGATATAGTTAAAGTAAAATTTTAGAGTGAAGCAAAATCATAATCCAAGGGCTTTTCCAAGATACGTGTGATTAATTATTGTGTGAAAAGGAATAATTACCTTTTATGAACTCAGAGCAAGGAAACCTAATTGGGATGGAATGTTCTGGAAGAGGTGGTTCTTAAACCTTAAAGGAGTAGTAGGATTTTGGTAAATGGAGATGGCAAGAAGGACTTTTTATATGTATATAAAATTTTTATTTGGAAACAGTAGTAAGAATATTCTGCAGAAAAAGACACATACTTCTTTGACCTGAACAGAGTATTAGGCAAAACTAGGGGATAAGGTTGGAAAAGTAAACTAGTGCTAGATTATGGAGGACATTAAATTCCAGGCAAGACAATTTGAATGTATTCTTCAGGTTAGTAAGTAAATGCTGAGATCAGAATTTATAGATCCAGAATGTCATCTAAGTGGAATTATAGTATGTACTCTTGTGTGTCTGGCTCCTTTCACTTAGTGGAAAGCATGTGAGATTCCATCCTTGTTGTTGCATTTATCTGTGGCCTGCTTATTTTTATTGCTGAGTAGTGTACCATTGTATGCAAGTACCATTCTTTTTTTGTACATTTACTAGTTGAAATTTGGGTTGTTTTCACTTTGGGACCATTACAAACAAGGCTGCTATAAACATTTGCATACAGGTTTTGTGTAGACATATGTTTTCACTTCTCTTGGGTGAATACCTAGGGATGGAACTGCTGGCTTCTATCACAAGTGCATGGTTAGCTTGACAAACTGCCAGTGTTTTTCAAAGTGGATGCATCGTTTTAAACTCTTACCTGCAATGTATGAGAGTTGCAGTTATCTACATTCTCACTAGCACTTGGTATAGTCATTTTCTGAAAGCCATTTGAATATGTAGTTATTATCTCATGGAGGTTTGAAGTTACCTTTCTGTAGTGATTAATGATGCTGAGCATCTTTTCATGTGCTTATTTGCCATCCATATACCTTCTATGATTATGTGTTGGTTTAAATCTTTTACTCATTTTTTAATGAACATGTTTATTATGTGTTAAAAGATACTTGTTCATTGTAAATTCAAATAATGCAGAAAAGTACAAATAAAAAAGTAAAGCAACTTAAATCCCAGTGCCCAGAAATAACTATTTTAATAAGTTAACATTCCACACATTTCTCCCTCTATGTACATATACAGATAGAAGGACAAATGGGTGAATGGATGATGAATGGATGGATGAGCGAATAGACAGGAAAAAAATATAAAAATGGAGTCATATTAGATATTCTGATTTCCATTGAGATATATTTTATATAGAATGGTTCTCCCCCTTACCCGTGGTTTTTCTCTTTCTGCGGTTTCAATTACCCATGGTATAGTACAATAAGACATTTTGAGAGAGAGACCACATTCACAGAACTTTTATTACAATGTATTGTTATGATTGTTTTATTTTATTTTTGGTATTGTTGTTAGTCTCTTATTGTACCTAATTTATAAATCAAACTTCATCATAGGAATATATGTACAGGAAAAAACATAATGTTTATAGGCTTTGGTGCTATCTATAGTTTCAGGCACCCACTGCATGTATCCCCTACAGATAAAGGGGGCCTACTGTTCTATGAAATTCACACTTTTCAAGTGTACAACTCAGTGGTTTTTACTATATCGACCATGTTGTGCAACCACTTTTAATTTCAGAAAAATTATCACCCAGAAAGAGAACTCCACACCATAAGCAGTTAGTCTCCATTGCCCTCCACCCTCCAGTCCCGGGCAACAGCTAATCTACCTTCTCTCTCTCTGGATTTGATACTTTGGAAATTTTATGTAATGGAATTTCATAATATGTGGCCTTTTGTGTCTGGCTTCTTTCACTTAGTGTGTTTTTTCAGGATTCATCCATGTTGTAACATGTATCAGGGCTTCAGCCCAATTTATAGCTGAGTGATCTTCCATGTGTGGGCATACTGTATTGTGTTTCTCATTTTCTCCCTCAGATATGGGCATTTAGGTTGTTCCTGCCATTTGGCCGTTATAAATCATGCTGCTATAAACATTTGTGTACAAGTTTTTATATGGACATATGTTTTCAGTTGTCTTGGGTTTAAATACCTAGCAGTGGAATTGTTGTAGCCATTTTTTTAGACTGAGTTGTCTATTTTCTCATTATGGACCTCTGAGGTATATAAAGTTTTAAATGTTGACTTTACAGACATGTGCATCTTTTAACTGAGGTAACTCCAGCATAGTTCTATGTTCAAATTTTGATGTAGGTTTAATGAAGGGTTTATGAAAGCTTGATTGTCCAATGTGCTCCAAATATTATTAAATCACATTAAAAAATGTACTTGTATTGATCTGAATTGTTTAAAAATATGTAAAGTAGGCCAGGCGCAGTGACGCACGTTTGTAATCCTACCACTCTGGGAGGCTGAGGCAGGAGGATCGATTGAGCTCAGGAGTTTGAGGTTGCAGTGAGCTGTGATGACGCCACTACACTCTCTACCTGGGAAAACAGAGCGAGACTCTGTCTCAAACAAAAAAAAGTAAAGTCAACCCTTTAAATTATTTCTATTTTATCTTAAATATTTCTTTAGATTTTACTTTCTAGAGTTCATTTAGTCACTGACTGTATGAATATTTCTTGATATTGCCTTTTGGGTGCCTGGCATTTTACTGAGGGATTGACTTAAAACATATGAGGGGAATAACTTCATGTACAATTATGAGATGTAAAGTGTAGTCATACTTATTTTATGACATGGATGTGATTTTGTTGGTATTTATGTGTTTCCGTCTCGCTCTTCTCACGGTTCTCACATGCCTCCTCCACTAAGGATTATTCAAGCTACACATATAAATAAATCTCCACGTTACATTCAGTGACTTAAATAAAAGTTCCTCTGAAGCTGTCTGTTAATTTTTTGTTTAGGGTGTGCGTGGAATGATGTGGAATGTCACGCCGTAAGTAATGGAACCGTGCCTGTCGTGTTGTTGCTTTCAGTATTGCTGACAGACAGAATGCCTTGGAGGCTGAGCTGAGGGCAGTGCAGGCCTCTCGCAGAGACCTGGAGAACTTCCTAAAGTGGATCCAGGAAGCAGAAACCACAGTGAATGTGCTTGCCGATGCCTCTCAGCGGGAGAATGCTCTCCAGGACAATATCTTGGCCAGGGAACTCAAACAGCAGATGCAGGTAAATGCATGGGAAACTACAGCCAGTATTTGTGTTTGTACTGTGCTCTTTTGATCCATCTTTATGCAAATTTATTAGTGTTAAAAGGTGAGGTTGTCACCTTGTTCTGTTTTGAAATCCCTGCTCTCCTCTGAATAATTGGTTTCTGGAAATAAGATCTGTAAAATATTTTTACTTAATATGAGAGAGAAAAAAACCATCTTGTTTTATGGAAGTAATAATTGTTTGCGTAGAGTTAGAGGCTCATAGCTATTCTGTTTTCCGTCATTTTAAGCCCTATTACAGTTAGCTTTATTGAATCCTAAATTATAAGGGCATTTTCCCTTAATGTGAAGTTGTTTCTTTCCCCATTTATTATACATACTTAATATAAAAGCTACAAAAACTCTATGGCTTAGTTTACAACTAAGAATATTAGGCTCAAAGGTATTACTTTTATGTCTTTAGCTTGATAACTATGATTATATATACAGTCTGAGGTTCAAAGTATGCTAATATAGAATCTTTCCTTTAAAAAAATTACAAAAAAATCTCATGAAGCATGTCTGAATCTTTTTTCTGCCCCCAGGTAGTTCTGCTTCAGTGCCCTTGAATACCCTTGAACCTCCTATTTTGTCTGCCTAGATTGATCTATTCTTGCCGATCCTGTAGGTCTTCTCACTTAGAACTTGGTTCAAAACCTATTTCAATGGGGAATTCTCCTTGTCTACCAGAGTTTTACATGTCATTACTTCTTTATGCCATTTCATTTCCACATCAGTTTGACTGTTATTTTTCTGATATGCTTGTGAACACACGTCCCATTATCACTGGATGCCTCTTTCCACCTGTCCCAGTTGATCCCATGGTTCTTCAAGGACAGAGATTGTATTATTCCATATTGTTGCCTGTGCAGTGCCCTGAGTGCAAATCCTAAGTAAATACTAACTGCCACTCTTGGACCCTGGCTTTCACTATTATGAAATGCACTATTGATGATCTTTTGTGAATTTGTTCTTAGGAACTCTTTTCCCTTGAAACATCGATATCAAGACTACTTTATAAAATGTCAACAAATGTGTAGATCTGGATAAAGGGTCTTGGGGCTTTCTTTCGACTACTCTTATTCTTACAGCTTTTCTCTAAGTTTGAAATGATTTTCATTAAAAAGTTACAAAATTTTTAAAGGAGACCTTTTTGGAATAGGCTTATTTATAACTCGTTCACATGCATAGAGACTCTTATGGTGTTTTACTGTTATGTTCTTTAGATTAACTTAATGAAAATCTGCATTTATTTACATTACTTCTTATTTCTTTGTTCATTTTCCAGTACTTTTGTGACTTGGTGTAGTGAGTGTGACCAGGCAAGTATCAGAGTTAAATCTGATCCTTTGTTTCATGCTCTGGAGTCTCTTGAGGTCACCATAAATGTTAATTGATGAAATATTTAGCTATATTTGGATTTTAGGGGATTACAAAGGGCTCTAAATGTAGATAGATACTAGAACATATTATTTTTTTATGATGTAAACAATAATAAGCCTGACGTATAAGTGTTCACCCATACTTAATTTATGTAATGGTGTTAATTTCAACAGCTATTTAGGCTATGCACTTGAGTAGGTGACAGTTCATAGACAAGTAAAAAAAGAGCCTTAAAATGAACCTTGATAATGAGCACTAGCAAAACACAGGCCTGTTGTAGACTTTAATGATGTCTTCTGACACATTTAATCTTAGGATACATTCTTCCCATAGCCAAAACTCTTCTCAATATTTAATGAATATTCAAACTGTGGAAGACATAAATGTAAATAGAAATGTTTAAAATCTTTCTAAATAAAAATAGCTCAGCACAGGATTACTTGTCGTATGGCAAACAGCATTGAGAAGGAAAGGTTGCTGACAAAAATACTAAAATACGTTATAGCATGTATAGTAATGCTTCTCAAAAAGAATCTAATGTTGCTGAAATAGAATCTTTTGGCTCATAGAAAATAATAAAGAGGGCATTTATTAAGAGCTTATTGAAATCTCTTTGTTTATCTAGAGATAAATATGTACATTTGTTTATGTTTAGGATGTTTCATATAATGGTAACTTACATGATTTTTTACTCTCTTCCTCCTTTATTAAATGTGCTTAATTTTAAAGCATTCTCTCTATTTTATTTAGAAAATATTCTATGGCTTTATTTTTAATACCTTATAGGTGGATGACTGTTAGAGACTTGATACCTTTCGCTGAGTATTTCTGAGGCAAGAGAATTTTAATTTTCCTGTGGGCTTGTGTATTGATTCTCCTTTTGTATGAATGAACAGACATTTAAAATGGAAACGTGTTTGGAAATGGAAAGGTGTTTGTTGAAGGAAATGACTGTACAAAAGCACGTCAAATCATAAAATAAATTTTCTGGTGGCGTGGTGGTGGTGGCGGCGGTTACGTGTGTGCTATAGAAGGTGGAACAAGGACCTCAGTGTATCCGTGCTCCATGCAGAAGGGGTGTATATAGAAATGCCTAGATGACACATTCACTATTTATACTCGTTTCATGTCTTGTGACAGTCACATGCAGGGGCATGGGACTATTTCATGAAAGATGAAGAAGTTTATTCTATATTCAGTTTAAGGTGAATCTTGGGTAAATTTTGATAAAGGGACAGCTCTAAAGCACATGAAAGATGAAGATGAAGATTAATTTGGGGGAGTATGCTATGATACACAAGATTTCTATTAGGGATGGATGATCATTTGGATTTATGTATTTGCGTTTCATTGCCCTGCTGCTAGGCTGTTAGGTTTTATCCCTCAGCAGAGGCCTTTTCTTTGGAGACTTGCAAGAGAGACAAGCTCCTTAAGAGCTAAGTAGTCCAGATCAAAAAGGGTCTTGTATGCCATGCTGAGTATTTTTTATTTATAACCTGGTGGCAATGGGGAGAAGGAATAAAAGACACTAAGGAAGAGTAATGCAATGGGGTTTCTGCTTTATAGGAATCTAATTGATGACGTTTTAAGGAATGGATTTGAGTGAGGCAAGAGTGACAGCAGAGAGGTCTGTTAGGATATCCTTGTAGCCCTGCAGGCCAGAGATGATAATGACCAGAAAGGAGACCATAGTAGGGCAAGACCTAATGACTTGATAGTCGGGGAAGAGGGAGAGAGAAGGAGGTGGTATTAGAGCCCGAGAGACTGGGAACATATGAGAAGAAAGTGCCAGGGCTGGGGTGCAAGTTAGTGGTAATTGTGAGAGGACTGTACAGATTGCATTTTTACTATGTTGAAATGAGGCATTTGAGTAACAACCAGGAGGAGATGCCTGGTATGCGGTTGCTGCTGTGAATCTGTATTCAGATGAGAGAATTTGGCCAAAAATGCAAAAACTTTTTATTTTTGTGCTGTTGAATGAAAGCCTTTTGACTTCCTACTAGTTTATTAATTCAAATGCATTTATTCTTCATTTTCATGTCCATTTTCTAGAATATTATTATTTTAATTTTTTTTTTAAACTTAAGCTTTACATTTTAGCAGTATGAATTGAGATGCTCTTATTCTTTCTTGGTTAAAATCATGAGGCCCTTTTGCTTTTTGGGGTGTGTCATAATAGGTAGTTGGTTTCGCTCTCTTAACAATTTGTGTTTTGGGATCATTATATTTTCATCTCCTGTGTTTACATTTAGCCTAATTTTTCACCCTCTTGTTCCATAGATCCAGACTTTGACTATAGAGTGTTTCAGATCTTTCACGTTCTGCTCCTTACACAGCACTGTGTTTGGGGTAAATACTTCATCTGCTGGCTCTGGAACAGAAATGATAACTGCATATTTTTTATAGCAACGTCATTGGTATATAATTCACATGTTATACAGTTCATCCATTTAGAGTTTACAATTCAGTTGGTTTTAGTATATTCACAGAGTTGTGCAAACATTTTCATCACCTAAAAAGAAACCCTTTACCCTTTAGCAATCAATTCCCCATTCCCACCCTTAAACAATTACTAATCTGATTCTATCTGTTTGCCTGATAACTTAGTATTTTAAATCATGTTTTTTTGAATACATCCTCTGCTTTTGGCTTGGCACATGTATAAAACACTGTTAGCCTCACCAGAGGGAGGCAGTATAGACTCTTGGTATAGCCCTTCAGGGAAAAAACATGCGGGCAGAAGCCACAAACAACGCTACTTGATAAACAACTCTATAAGGCCCAATAAGACTTTAAATCATGCTAAAATGAAGGACTGAAAAAGGCAGATGAAGTAAACGAAGAGAAACCAATACTTAAACACTGTATTTCTTTTAAAAAGTCATGGTAACATTCGAGAGAGGTGAAACTGTGGCATTGCCCAGGTTACTAATTTGAGCTGGGTGCTGATAATGAGAAACATCTGGGTTCTATTTCTGGCTGTGCTCTTTGACCCAGTCATTTAATCATTCGGGGTTATTTTGCTCATCTACTGACAGTACCTTACTCCAATTGCTATTTGTAAGGGTATTCAGACTGCAGTACAGAGTGTGTCTCGAGTATGTATACCTACACATAAAAGCCAAAAAATTCTGAATTGGGTCTTCCTATGATATAATTATGGTCTCATATTTTCTATTCATAAAATTAAAACAGTTTTATGATAACTAAAGTGAGATCATGAAAATGCTGTTTACAGGGGAATATTCAGTAGTCAATTACAGACTTTATTTTGTATTAACTTTGCCATTTAGTTAGAGGAGTGCTAACCTATCCCATTTCTAATGCTTTCCTCCCAGGCAGTCATATGAGAGTCCACTGGACAGCTCTGCTTATCTTAGGTAAAGCCACCTACCCCCTGCAAGTATTTTTGCTTTGTTTTGTTTTGTTTTGTTTTGCTCTTTTGTTTTATATGGTCTCGTGCTGAGATCTGTCTAGAGGTGATTCATTAGCACTTAATGTATGGGCTGCTATCCTCAGAGTCAGGTACCCTTCTCCTCTTCTCAGGATTTATAACAGGGTCTCTTATTCACTAATTCACAGAGCACAGCCAGAGCTGTATTTATCAGGTAGTGAACACATCCCTCTTTAGAGAGGGGGAATGCTACTCTCTTTCTTAATATAAACCAGCTACAAGGCATGCACGGTGGTGGCGGTGGCGATATGTTGAATCTCTGTTCCCAGGGGATGTCTGCTTTGTATCTGCAGCTTTAATGTTTCACTTAATATCCTCTTTGGCTACGGAGCGCACTCGTCTTCAGCAGCCAGCAGCGCTTGGCGGCTCGACAACTTGCTTCATTTCTGGCCATGCCAGGCTGAGCAAGTGCTGGCTGTGAGCATCTGCTGGGGGGCTTTCTGTGTGGCGTTTGTCTTTGCTTTTCAAATTGAGCAGAAGTTGAAGGAATACCAGCCTGCTTTTTCCAAGAGCCTAAAACCCCTGTATCTTTCAAATGCATTCCTGGAAACGAGCATGCTCAGAGAACTGGCAAATCATTGTCCAGTGACCGGGAGGAAATGATCGTTGCTCTTCATTTATAATGCAAATTCTGAGGTGTCTTCAGAAGTGTGGTAAACTTAAAATGATGGCTGTGGTGAGAACGTCTCTGCAGAAAGTTGTGGTTTTGTTGCATCGTTTACAAAGGATGGCAGTTTCCTCTCCTCGGTATCAGAAGCTCTGTAAGGTAACTGAGTGATTGAAAATAAGGATCTCGGGTGTCTGACAATTCTACTGTTTCTCAGGCTCTAAAAACTAATCTTTCAGGTTCTTATCAAGGAAAAATTTCCTTTCTTAGTAACTGCTTGTAAAAGCTGTTAAAGTGAATTGCTTAATTAAATTTTGTTTTAAGAATCGGAAACAGATACAGTTTTAGTACATAGTTTATTTTGCAATTGACACAACCTTGTCTTCTGAAATGGGTTAGTGAACTGTCTGGAGGAAAATGGCACAACTACTATATTTATTAAGACCTGTTACCTCTCTGTTATTTTGCAGTGTCTTAATATTGAATGGCATGTTAATTGTATGTAAATTTCAGTAAAATTAAAAGAAGACTTTAAAATAATCTTTCAGGAGATCATTTAAAAACTGCCCATCTTTTTATAGCTGATACTTTTTCAGTTAAAAAATTAAAGCACATCTAAAAAATGATCAGAGTTAATCTCATCATGAAACATCCCCTGTATTTTTAAATCTCCATATGTTGTAGTTACACTTGAAGAACTTAATTTCGTTTGGACAGGTGGATTAAGTAGACTTTCAGAAGGCAACTTGTTTGACAGTTGCAAATTTCTACTACTACGTCATCCTGAACATATACCATTGAATTGGCTGATGTGTTTTTTTTAAGTTAGCTATTATATTTTCGATCACACTTTTGTTTTACTCAAACTATGTTCATACTATTTCATCACGGTTGTCAAAAATTAGAGCGATTTGATGTAAAAGGAGGAAATTATAATAGGAATGCTAAAGCACCACTGCAATACCATGTTCTTTCCTGTTATGTTCTTAGTACTGTACTCAAGAATGCATCTTTTTGCTCTGATAGCTGCCCGGGTTCATTTGTAATTGGAAAAACTGCCTCTAAGACAATACTATTTTTCTGCTAATATAAAATATGACATGGCCAAGCACCCAGACTGTGCATATATGGCAGCAGATTGGGATGGGAAAGCTGGATTCCATGAACTTCCTCATATCACATTGCTATTTCTTACAGCTTGGCCAATTCAATACATTTCTGTCTGGACACTTTTTTTTTTTTTTCTGAAAAGTTTTGATAGACAGATTAAGATAGTGAGGCATTCTTTGTAGCAATACTTAGAAGTGTTTTCATTTGTATAGTTAGTTAAAACTTAATATAATTTAATTAGTTCAGTTACAAAGGTTTTTAAACCTAATTATTTCAGTGTGTTGTGTTTTGGTTCATTTCCTGGTAAACATTTGTGTTTTTCATGAAAAGGCAATTTTGATAATAGGGAAGAAAAGCTCATTCACTAATGCATGTTATTCTTTTAAGCTACCAGTATGAATATATAAAACATTCTTTTTTAAATAGCCGGATCATTTTTCTGATCCATTTGTATGTGTGCTTTCACAAAACCAAATATAATATTTTTTTCTCACGTCATGTGACCAAGGCATTCAATTAGTGCAAGGTATGAAGCAGCAGAAGTCAAGTACTGGAGAAAGTTGCTAATTAGTTTCATAATTATACCCAAAATAAGCCCAAGTTATGGAAGTTATGTGTAAGTTAACTCCTATCACATGCACTCTTTGGCAATATCTGAGATTTATAATTTTATTTCCTAAATTTTATTAAAATTTAAATACTTAGAATGAATGTTCCTTTTTTCTTTTAGAAAATTGAAATTTGTATTACTTATTGTCGAAATGTTATCTTCCATATATTCTTTACACAAATGCAAAATTAACAACCGCCTAGATAATGCAATGAGAAATGTGCAATTCCAATACTGTCCAGCAGGTGTCAATATAAGGCAGTGATATATGAGATGTTGGCGAAAGAAATGGAAATCCAGATTAGGAAATGGCACAATTACTATGAAATAAATGAGCTAGTAACAGATATATTTTATTTGCATGGTCATGTTTTGAAAAAACATCTTAGTTATTGAACTATATTAATTCCTATGATATAAATAAAAGTTTTAGTTGCAGAATTAAGTATTAATTAATACTTAATTGCCATCTTAGTT